CTGCACTAATAATAATTCTTACAACTGGATTGTTTGCTTTTAATATTTAGAGGTAAATGTAATATCTTGGTCAAATAAAAGTCGGGTTGAAAAACGAACGCACCTAAAGGAGTCTTCTGCTGGTCAGACATTTGACTGCGTTGCTCTACAAATACGACATAAAGGAGTTTAAAGTGGAGGCTTTAAAAGGACTGCACAGTAAATATCAGGGCTGAGCTCAGCTTTACTGCCATTCCTGTTTGTGGTGATCCATCGGAGCAATGAAAAAGAAATGTAAAAATCCCAAGCTAAAATAAAAAAATAATAATGATTTACAAACAAATTTGAAGTGTTTTTGCTTAAAATGTCCATCTAGTGTGCTCCAAGTGGCTCAGACTCTAATTTTAAAAATTGATATAAGTTTTTAGGTCGACAATAAATTGCAGCAGGAGTGCAGAGAACGATGAGACAAAATGTTTTAATATGGATTAGAGTGAGCGCGGGTTAATGGCTAATCAGTGTAAATTAAAAGGCTTTTTATTTTTTAGTACCATTAGGGAGGATCAATGTCTGATCTAATATCCTATCTTAATCCTCGGGGCCCCCGCAGCATCTGACCATGATCATTAGTTTGGTAGGTAGGCAGATATACACACACACTCCCACACACACACACACAATGACACAATAAAAAAATCTGGGCAAAGCCATTAAAACACAAAGGAGCACACACAGACGTACAACTGCAGGACGACGTGGTTCTAATGTAATCGTGCACTCTAAAGGTTCCCGAGTTAAAACTGTTCAAACTAAAGGCTCAGGAGATCGATTCTAATATAATAACTTGAGAAATAAGAAATGACGTGCATCGGTGCGCACCTTTATGAATGTGTGTCAAAGGTTTGTCAGCCATCAGTAAAAACGGGACAAGATAAAACCAAATAACGGAGCGCTCCCATTTCTTGACATTTTAGGTTTCTATTTCTGTCGTGTATCAGTAACGAGTATCAAATGATCTCATGTCTGCACAAACAAGTAAATATGTGGTAGTCCGTATGTTTGGAGTGACATCATCAACCAAACATGTTCAGTTTCTCTGCTCAAGTCTCACTAAACTGCAGTTATTCAAGCCAGGCACATAAAGACGTTCAGCTATGACTTTTGTTTTTTCTAACTTAAAATTTTAATTTTTTTTTTACATTTTAATTAGGGATGCACAATATTGGATTTTGGGCCGATATGCCGATACGTTAAAACTTATTGGGCCGATATTTTATATACGTTCCTTTGTCAGAACACAGCCCTCTTATTTATTTTTATTTGCTACAAAAATTGTGTAACAGCTGTTAAAGCTTATAACCAGTAACAGCCATATGCATAGCACTTTAACTTATATTAAATGAAAAGTGTTAAATGTTATTTATTAGCGTTAGTCACCTGCGATGCTGTCTCACTTGTTCCAGGTTCCTATAGCTGCAGTGTGGGATCCTCTGCACTCCTGTGCATGAAGGACAGACTTTTTAAGTTCAAGGTTTTTGTCTATCCAATGCGCCGTAAGACTAATCATGCTAACGGGGCTAACACGACGTCCACATGTCTGTGGCAAAACTCACCCAAGTGCTATCGGCTGTTAGCTTCTCAATGACGTCGGAAATGACGGCTTGTAACTCGAGTAACGTTACGTCAGAAAAATATCTCTGACTGCGGACGATGTAGCGAGGCTCAACGTAGTCCATGAATCTTCGGAGTCCGACATCCTCACCAACGAAAAATAAAACTTCCACACCGCCGACATTTTGAGTTTTCCTCTCCGCCGTGAGATCGGGTAGGCGCGCGTGACGTCATCACGTTGTGCAGGCGCTGCAGGCATCCTTGTCACTGGGTTGTCATACAAAAACAGCGCCTTTTACATCTGTGGGTTATTTTGATGGAATGGCCGATGTCCGATATTGAACTTTAACGCTAATATTGGCCAATACTGACACCATGCCGATAATATCGTGCATCCCTAATTTTAATCAAGCATTTTTCCATAGAATGATTAAAATTTTCACAAAGTCTTCTTTGAAATCTGCTTCGGCATACAGTAATCCCTCACTACTTCGTGGTTCAACTTTCGCGGACTCGATCTTTCACGGTTTGTCTACGAGTGTCAACTTTAATATTACTCACGTGATTGGGACGGTACGGGATTAAAAGTTAATGTGAAAAAATAAAAATACTTTGGACAGGTGCCGCCATTTTGTAGTTTTCTTTCAATAAGCCTATACTGTAAGGCCAGTCAAAGAACTACATTACCCAGAAGCAAACGGCGCTTTCGGCTGCTTTCTGCCGAAAATGGAGGGAAAGTTTTGATCCGATCCGAACCCGTTTAAAAAGTTTGGTCCTTATTCATAGTGACTTCGGCGCTCAGTGGCTGCAGAGAGCCGATCAGAACCGGACCAAGACGGATGAGTCCCCATTTAAAATGTTGCAGTAGCTACTGTGCAGTGCATATATGTTGTTAAATTGGTGTAGGTTTAAGAGTTTAGAACATTGCAAGAGTGTGGGAAGGATTTATAAAAACTTTAAAATATGTGTATATAAATTAGTGCTGTCAATCGATTAAAAAATTTAATCAATCTCATTCTGGGGCTGTGATTAATCACAATTAATCACTATGCTCAAGAATAGTGTAGTAGGAATGTTATATTTATTTTAGTATTTTAATAAACAGCATTCCTACTTTGCGGTTTTTCACGTATTGCGGGGCGGGGTGTCCAGAATGTAACCCCTGCGATAAACAAGGGACTACTCTACTTAATCTATTTATGTCTTTTTAACGCTACTTTTACCTTTAAGAGGGCCTTCTAAAAAATTACCTAGCCTTTGGAGACTTTTAGTAATTCAGTTTTAGCTTCTTCAGCAAATTTTGAGTCATTCAGCTCTTGTTCCCCCCCCCCCCCATTTTCATCCATTTTTCTAGTTTCGGTTAGCGATGCTAAATGTTACAAGGCTCATTTGGCCGCATTACATGCAGTGTAGGAGTTGTGAAATTGCATCATAAACATCTACAATAACTTTGTTCACATATGGGAGTTTTCCAGACTCTCAAGAGTCTCTTGAGTCATATAAAGCAAACACTAATTTACACACACTCACATAATGTTGCTCGTTGGGGTTGATTTTAAGCAGATAAAAAACAAATATTAAGCCCACCCACAGAGCGCCAGCACAAATGAACTGAATCCAACTTTTATTGAGACTCCTTTCCAAAAGCACCCAATAGAACTAAGACGTCCAACTCCCACACTACAGACTCCAACAGATTGATGCCGTGCTAACGTATCAATAAAAGGCAAACGGGAGGTAATGTATTCAATGCAACACCTGGGAGTCTATGATGGTGTACGTATGCTGTTTATTGTTCCCTGTCACTAGTGCTGATGTTCCTGCTCCCACTTATATTTAAGTCTTGCCATAAAAATTCCTAATTAACAGAGAGAACAGAAAATATTACAAGATTATGTCATATTCAATGTTTTATTTTATTAAGTCAACTGTAAAACCAAAAATGAGTAAATTAACTAATATAAAGTGATCTTAAATTTTGCTGCTTGTTAATAAAAACAAGCTTTTTTTGAACTCATACTTCTTCCTTATTTAGAAGATCTTAACACTAATTTATGGTTTTGGTTGTGTTTCCATTGTTTCCGTTCATGACGGTGTGGTGCCCCCTGGTGGATAAATGAACCACTGCAGAACTTCCCAATCAAACCAGTGAATCGTTAAAGTAGCCCAAAACAATATAAAAACAATTAGTGAAAAATACAAATAAAACTAGAGAAATTGCATTTCCTCTACAAATTAGGAAATTAGCTAAAAAAGCTGAAATTAGCAAAAAATAATAGCTGAAAATGCAGAAAGAAGCTTAAACTACCAGAAGGAACTGAAAGGAGTTGAAATTAGTTTTTTTATTAAAGTGGAATTAGCTAAAAAAGCTAAAATTAGCATAACATCATCTAAATAGTAGCTGAAATAACTGAAACTAGAAATAAATTGAAAGGCGCATAACAAGCTGAAATTAGCAGAAGGACATTAATTAGGCTGAAAGTAGCAGAGATTGCCATGAAAAACTTTAATGTATATGAAATCAGCTGAAATTAGCTAAAAAGGTAGCTGAAAACGTAGAACAAGCTTAAATTAGCATAAGAAAGCAGAAAGAGAACACATTTACACAATTAGGCTGAAAGAAGCAAAAATGAGCACAAAAAAATGGAAATTATCTGAAAAAAAGACAAAATTAGCAAAAAAGCAGCTGAAAAGGCAGAAAGAAGCTTAAATTACAAGGGAGTGGTGAGAGCACATTTTTCTGAATTAGGCTGAAAAAAGTTTAAATGAGTGCATAAAATGTGGAATTAGCTGAAAAGCTTAAATTAGCATAGCTGAAATAGTAGAAAAAGCTGAAACTTGCAGAAATAAACTCAAAAGAACATAAGCAGAAATAAGTAAGAAGCACAAACTGTAGTTAGCCGAAAGGAACACAAAACAGCTGGAAAAAAAAAAACTGCTGAAATTAGCTGAAAACAGCTGAAAAAATTGTTAAATTTGCACAAAGAAGCAGAACCGGAACAAAATGTGAAAGGAGCAGTAAAAGACTGTAAACAGATCTAAAGGCCTGAAGGATGTAAAATGAGCTCAGTTCATTTTCTTTGAGGAAAAAGTGGCAGAAAAAGCTAAATTTTTCAAAAAGCTAAAGTTGCATCAATACCAAAAGTCATAGCAGGATTGTCCTGAAAGAGCTGAATGTTTTGATTTATGATTCGATGAAATAGCTTGAAAAGACCAGAATGGCTCTGAAAAAAGTGCGGAAGAACAATGGATCACAATAGAGTGAATGCTTCATGATGAAATGTCCTGACCTTCGAATTAGCTGTTATTTAAATATAGATCCCCTTTTTAACTTTAGGTGTAATAATTCCCTGAATTATACTGCCCCCTAAAAATCATTGCTGAATGTGGTTGTGCATAGAGGAACTTACTTTTCATAGTACCAGCTTCTTCCTCATCCTCATCATCAGAGTTAATTACCATGGTACCGAGCTGTGACTGCATGGTTCCTGTGTCCTCATGTTCAATCATTGTACCGCTAAATGAACTTGCTAAGGACCCAGCAGCCCGGACGGTTCCGGAGTCACCCGCTCCAGCTCGAACCATCGTCCCCTGGTCCACTTCATCCTCATCCTGAAACGCACAGCAAGGTACCATTACTGAGAATACATTTACTCAGGTTAATGTAAGCTTTACTTCCAATTGTATTCAGCAAAAGTTTGACTGAACGTGTAGTTTAGATTCTAAAATAATTTGTTGACAATTTAGAGCTGAATCAAGCCAGTTTTATCAAGCCCCCTCTTTTAGGAACCACTGATTTTACATGTTTACAATCAAGGTTTTACATTAGCCATAGCTTTAATCCTAAAATACTAAAACACTCGCTCTCAAATCTGCATCAGAAGTACAAATTCAAAAGTCTGTACCGAATTGTCGTCTTCTGCGTCCTGCTCTCTTTGTTCTGCCTCCTCTTGTTTCTTCAGTTTTATCTCCATGGCATCTTGGATCAAAACTCTTAGGATGGAATTGGGCTTGGCTGATTTGATGAAAGGATGCTGCAGGAAGAGGAGAAACACAAAATTGCCTCTGAACTCAATACAGAAGTGCCTAACAGTAATGAAATGCAACTTTAATAAAAAATAAATCCATAACTGAGAGAAATGTTATGACAGACTGGATCATGTAATAATCTAAATGTATAATCTGATAAGATTTTTGAGAACTTGTTTTTTTTTTTTTTTTTAACCAAGTCCCACCTGGTTTACGCCTCCACCATCATCATTACGTTACCTGTAACAACTGTGTGGCTGTTGCTCTATTTTCCGGGTTTTTCACCAAACACTGGCTGACAAAGTCCAGAAAGTTTGCCGACCACAGATCTGGGTTACGAAGCGTTGGGGGAGGGTTGGTGGGAATCATGAAGATCGCCTACAAGAACAAACACATTTAGGTGCATGCGAACCAAAGACCGTTTGGGACAAAAAACAGTGGTTTCAGAATTGTCCCACTAATTTTCTTCCGGCTAATCGAAACTATTTTCCTCACCCTCATTGGGTGTATATCAGCGTACGGTGGTTTGCCCTCAGCCATCTCTATCGCCGTTATTCCCAGCGACCAGATGTCAGCGACACAGTTGTAACCGATCTCCTGTATGACCTCTGGAGCCATCCAGAACGGTGTGCCGATGACCGTGTTTCGCTTTGCCATAGTGTCCTAAAAAAAAAGGGAAACTACATTTAAAGCAAACTCTAAAAACAGAAACCATGCTTAGTTAAAAGGGGGGAAACAACAATAAGTTTTTATTTAAGATATTAAAATATATATTTGCATGAAGTCTCATTAGGTCAGACATAAGACATTTGAATGCTTCTTTTGAAAAATGAGAATCTAGTCAAGATAAGTCAACTTTATTTATAAAGCACATTTAAAGCAGCAGCTGTTACCAAAGTGCTTAACAATAACATCAATGAGAGTAAATTAATGGAAAATAAAAAAATGATAGTACTGAAAATTAACAGCATTATTCATCCGACCTTTATTTATACAGGTTAATCCCATTGAGCCTCGGGGACTCGTTTACGAGAGAGGCCTGGTTTTAACAAAGAGTGATGACAACAGTGGACAATCATAAAGGATGCGTACAAATTGAAGTGGAAATAAAATGGTATTTAAAAGAAAATGTAACAAAAACTAGCTAGGTTGTAAGGCGATGCAGGAAACTAAACATGAACTAAAATGAGCTTCTATCACTTTTCATTTAGCTTAAAAACTTGAGCATGCTCAGTGCAGACCTCTGAAAATGAAACATTAAAGACAAGAAGTGTTTTCAGGTTTTTAGTAAATTGTTTTACTGATTTGAAGGATTGTAATAAAGTTTATTAAGAAATATTAAAAAAAGGTTTTGATAAAGTGTAAGGCATAAGTAGTAAATGCATTTTTTTTTTATTGTGTATATTGTAAACTCTACATTTCTTTAAAAAATAATTTGATATATCTAAAAATCAAAGTTAATTTATATATTTTTTCCCATAAATATTAACTGAGACTGGCACTAGGCTTGGACCAGATTTTAAATTTTGTCCCCCTTGTGTAATAGAGTTTGGCACCCCCGCTGTAGGTGACCTTCAAATCCTTCTCCTGAGCTGCTCGGTGTTTTCAGTTAGATGATAAAAACCCGTCCATAAAAGACAAAACAGCAGTTTTAATAGTTTGTATTAAAAAAATAAAAATAAAAAAACAGAACAAAACATACTAAATCAACTCGCACTGTGTGAAATGCCAGATTAAAAACAGAAGAGTTTTTAGCAGAGATTAAAAAACAGAAAGAGAAGTGGCCTGCCTGATGTTGGGGGGCAGATCGTTCCAAAGTTTGGGGCCCACGACTGAAAAAACCCGATCTCTGAGCTTCAGTTTTGTTTTAGGAACGGTCAAAAGGAGCTGATCAGATGATCTCAGGGCCCGAGGGGGAACATATGGTTCTAGTAGTTTAGAGAGATAAGGGGGTGCAAGGCCCTTTATGCCCTTAAATGTTAGCAGGAGAATTTTAAAATCAATTCTGGTATGCACAGGGAGCCAGTGAAGGGAGGACAGAACTGGTAATATGTTCAAACCTAATCTAAACCCAAACAGTGTAAAGTCAGGTGTTCTTACTGTGAGCTGTCCAGCAACTCCAAAATCAGCCAGTTTGGCTTGACCTTCTGTGTTCAGCAGGATGTTGCCTGCCTTGATGTCTCTGTGGATCTTCCTCATGAAGTGAAGATACTCCAGACCCTTCAGAGTCGACTGCAGGACGGTGGCAATCTCCTCCTCTGTGAGCTGTAATGTACGAACGCACACGACGATCACTGTAGGGAGGTGATCCCAAAGAAATTAAGACACATTTACCAGGTTTTCAAGTTCAAGTAGGTTTATCGTCGTTCTCAGCACACGGGGTACACCCAGAAATAGCAAAAATAAAAAGAAACAGTAAATAAGGATCTAAGATATACACTAAGGTATACTCTAAATGAACGCCAAACGGTACGCTAAAAGATCTAAGAGATACGTTAAACACCAATAATGCAAAACAATACGGCGTTTTGTAGCAAATACATATTTCTTAAACATTTATTTGGATGTCTCTTTTGGGTTTTTTATATGCCGCTTGTATGGAAGCATGAAACTAAAAGCTTTGATGCAAGTTATGATGCATTAATTGTTAAATCCTTTTCCAAGAAATGATATGTCTCGATTAAAGAAGTCAAATTCCTTCAAGTATGTTGCGAGTCTGTCCTCCTTCCTTCACACCTGATGCAGTCTGCACAAACTACATGTAGGCGAGCGTGTTTGAGTATTACGTTACCGTCTTGTTACGTATTCGGATGATATCAGACACTGATCCTCCGCCACAAAATTCCATGACAATCCACAAGTCGCTGTTTTTGAAGTAGCTGCCGTAATACCGCACCACATGGGGACTGAGCAGAGACACAGAAATGTCAGGCTGCAGGTATTGCTTTACTTTAAGGTTTGAAATCGTTTTACTTAGTAAGTGGCGTTTCAAAACTACCACTGTGGACATGGATGGTGAGATTTGCAGAGTAGAAAAATGTTTTTCAAATGTGTTGAAAAGTATAAAATATATTCTACATTAAAAATAATAATAATAAATAAATTGCTGTCTAATTACTTTTGTGAAACAAAACCGCAAATGTTTCAAATATGACAAAGTACTGAATAAGCTCCACATTAGTAATACTATTACGTACCAACATTAAAATATACAATCTTAAACTTATACACACCTGTTACACTGCTGCATGATGGAGATTTCCTTAATGATCTCTTGCAGATCAGACTCTACAGGAACCTGTTTGATGGCAACAATCTCCCCCGTTTCTTTATAATGGGCCTTGAAAACACAACCATAAGACCTGCAGACACAAAGAGACAAAGGTTTATGATGTTTTAGCTCTTTACTACCTGTGAGTCCGTTTAATAACTTGCTGCTAAAGTTATTCTGCAATGTTTATGTGCCAGTATGCAATAACATATAACATCAGTTTGTTGAGAATTAATCCTTATGTTTTTACCTCTAATTTCTTATGAGCTATAAAGAGGACAAAAAATTATTATTATTATTATTTCTCTTGCTGAAGGTGTTTAGACAAGTTGTGTACTTTTTATCCAGAACAAAAAATACGTTCAGTTTGGTTACTTTTTATTTAACTTTTAAAATTATATACAATATACTGTGTATATGCAGTTAATGGTGTTTTTATTGATATTAATCTGTTCTAAAAGATTAGTCATGATAGATGTACATGAGTTTCTTTCAGGTTGTGTAACGTGCTTGTGAAGAAATACAGTACATTCCTGGCAACATAAGAGTCACCAGAATCATATTTTGTCGAGTTAGTGAGCTTCAACTAAAAGTTCACTCAATTTCCAAAGTCTAGATTAAAGACTGAATTGATCCAAATAGTTTTAGTACAAGTAAAAGTAATTACTAATAGTAATAGTACAAGTTTACGTTCTACCCTAAATGCAGGTGTGATAAAAGGCTCACAGGACTCCATCTTTGTGTTTTTGTCATTGTTTCGAGCCCGAGTGTCACTTTCAACAGTGAAAGGAAACAATCTTCATAAGAACAAACAGTACACGGACACAGACAGTATGAACACCAGGGCAGCAAACGATTGATCCATGAGCAAACAGGACACTGAAGACATTTAGATTAACTGGAGGTTAATTTTTGTTGTGCCAGATGTCGAATACGTGACTGACATCCGACACGATAGACGCACGCACACTGTCAATCAGCTGCTGAAAACAGGAAGAGCGTTGAGAAACAGGAAATGAAGAGGCACTGTTTGAGCAGACAAACAGAAAGGAGGAGCCCAGTGACGAGCAACGTGGGGGAAACACAGTAAACGAGGCAGAAACGCAGACAGACCTTGAGAACGACTAACAAAGTATGAAAGAGAAAATAAACTAATTATAGCCAAGACTCAGGCCTTTTAAACACAGACAGATTTAGACAGTCGGGCAGCGTCTCCCGTCAGGACTTTGTGTCACTCGTCTTGCTGAATGACTCACCCTTCACCCAGCTTCTCCAGGACATCAAAGACTTCCTCTGGCTGCTTGGTGAGGCTGTCCTCGCTCAACTTCTTCAGCTGCCTGAGATGATAAAACACAGACAGATGCTGGTGACGGGTTGTTGGAGGCAAACAACTGATCAGAACGTTTAAACCACGACTATCAGAGCAGGACGGAAACTACACGTTATTTATGTATAATTTAAATTGCCAAAAGAGCTCCTAACTTGTCCTTCTCAATCAAAAAATGGACAGCTGCTCAAAAACATTTAATCCAACAAGCCTACTCATTTTCTTGTGTTTAAATCAATACAAAGACAAGAACAGGAGTAAAATAAAAGTGTAATTGCTCACAAATGCAAGAGTTATCTCATGAAGCAACTTTAAATCACTTACCTAAATATTGCTGAGTATTTTTTGTCCTAATCATTAAAAATAACTATCAAATAAATGTTTACACTGTAAAAACACTGTTTAAAATCCTGTTTTCCACAAACCAGACTAGAAATGTATACATCCATATTCATTACCCTGTAGAACAGAGTTTAAATAATTTATTCGTCTTAAATAACAGTCAAGAATGCAAAGCCTTAAACTTTAAAGGCAAATTATTAACTAATGTGTTGTTGCCATGCCATTATTCTGATGTTTTATTGAATCAGTACTCAAGATATAAATAACATTTACGCTGTGACTAATAAAAAAATAAACACTTTTGCTTCCAAAAAGCCTTCGTAAGTGTTAAAGACGTGTTGACTTCAGAAATAGTTCTTTCGGTTGACAGCCTTTCTGAAACATCAAAATTATAAAACGTCTGTGTTTGAGGTCAGTAAACTAAAAATAGTTCTCAGTTTACAGATAAAAATAGATGAATAAGTCCCAGATGCAGACTGCGACAAACCAGCCTTAAGAGACTGCAGGAAGAAAATATTAAATCAGGTCTGAGCCAAACTGGGATGGCAACGTGTGCGGGTTGGAAAAACCACCAGAAAAACTCAGCTCAACCTCATTATCTTCATCCGTCGACTCGCTGCCATGTTTAGTACCAATTAAAGGCTAGCAGTTCTAACTATTTAATCCAAGTACTTCAGGATTAACTATATATTTAATGCCAACTTCATGTCTATTCTTACTGAAAAATTAAGAATATTTTTTGCCGACATTTTACCATACCATACCAATTAATTTATAGAGTACTTAAAACAGCGACAAGGCCAACCAAAGGGCTGTACAATAGAAACAAACAAGCACAGCAGACAGGAAAACTTTATAAAAATAAAAATAAAGATATAAATAGCAGTGGATAAGAACTAAATGGCCAACACTGGAGCCTACAGACAGGATCCAAACAAATTACACCGTGTCAAAGGCAAGGGTAGAATTTGGTAGAAATTGAAATTCATACATGCACAGCAGTTCCCAGAATAACCAGTTAGATGAAATAATGCATACTTAATTATGGACATAAAAGTGGAGCGTCTCCTTTGATGCGACAATTTTCTTTAGCAAAATGAACAACCTAGAGATTTGTTGTACTTTGCTAAACACATTTGTCTTACAGAGTTACAGACATCTAAGTATTAACATCTAGAGGGATTTCAAAGTTAATAATCCAGGTATAAATGCAACAATGATCAGTCAGGTCATCTGGATGGTTTCTTTTTTTGCTGAGACATTTCATCCTTCATCCAAAGGACTTCATCAGAAAGAAAAGCTTTGCAGAGAGTGGTGAAGGCTGCACAGAAGTCTGTTGGAGTCAGCCTCCCCACCATCACAGACATCTACACCTCCAGATGCAGGAAGAGGGACACCTGCATCATGAAGGACCCCACTCACCCAGCACACACACTTTTTGCCCCGCTCCAAACAGGAAGGAGGTTGAGGATCATTAAGTGTAGAACCTCTAGACTGAGGAACAGCTTCTACCCTGAAGCTGTTAAGACTCAAGAATCTCTAACCAGAATAATCACTGGGAAAAAAATCACATCATGTTGCTGCTGATCTGTTTCATGTTGCTGCTGATCTGTTTCATGTTGCCGTCTTCATTCGTGCTCATCTGCTCACACAGACTCATGTTCGTGCTGCTGTTCGACGAATTGTTTTTGTACTACTAGTACATGACGTATTTTTAGTTAACGTTTTTCTTAGTTCAGAATTTTAGATCTTATTACGGTTTTTCTTTTGCATTTTATACTTTTGTTGGATGTAACTGGGACCCTGTGTACACAATTTTGTTCCACCACATGTACCACATGTGGTGCGTATGACAAATAAAGAACCTTGAATTAGTCCGAGGAGCCACAAACAGAGTCCCATAAGCGCCACACTCCCAAAGTGGAAGAAAAGCACTAGATAGATTATTTTTATTATGATAGACCTTTATTCTTAAATTTAGAATCGAATCTAAAGGTTGAAATATTTCCTGTTTGAATATAGAGTGGCTTCTACTTTGACTTGAAAATTGCTGGGTTTTATGTTGATCTTTAACAAACAGGGCAGATAGAAGAACTTGAACTGAAGGAACTTGCACAAAATAAATGTATTTTAAAATATATGAGCATTTTCACTTGAAAAATTAACTTAATTGTGGTCTACAGTGAACTGGTTTGTAGCAGCTTCATCTTCCCATTGATGATGTACAGGCAAGAACAATGGCTTTTTTAACGTGACCAATATCAGCCAATACGTCAGTTCTACCTCTTAGTTTGACAAAACAAAGGTTTACATTGATTTATACCTTTCAAATGTTATAGAAAAGCTTTTCCAATATCAACTGGACTAATAACCAGTGATGTTTAAATGCATCACGTTCTCTGTTGTGATTTGAATTTCACATTTTACTGCTCGTCTTCCATCTTCTCCCTTCTGCAGGACTCGCCACAGCGAGTGAACTTAAAGATAATAAAAGATTTGGTAATTATTTAACGCCAGATGCTCCTCCTGACACAAACTGGGCTCAAACCAGCAGCCACAGGATTACAAGACTGCAGCACTTAACCACTGAGCTACTGTAGCCCCCATGAGATTGACAACTTCAACCAAAGTTTTTCTCTTGTTTTTTTAAGGAAGATTCAGGAGGATTCTTTTCCTCCTCTGGCTTGGGATCTCCCAGGAGGAGCCTGAGAGCGTCTCTGGGTAGAGGGAGGTCAGGGTTTCTCTTCTGGACCTGTTGCCTCCGTGACCCGACCACAAATGAGCAGTAAGGAGATGGAGGAAAAAAGAGCAGAACTTTTGAACAGCTGCAGAAAATGTTTCTGAGAACAGTTGACCTTTTCAAACCGTTATCAAAGGCTGCTCAAAGCAGATGGTTTTTCAGTAAGTGTGTGGTTTGCCAAACCGCTGTACCACAGCGCACAGATTGGCTTTTGGCAGCACAAACTCAAGAGCATCAATTTCAAGCCAAGAACAACAGAAAATGGACAAGAGCCTTGAAATGCTAATCTTCCACAGGAGCCAAGTTCTGCTTTATGAGATGACCTTCTAGACTTCTGGTAGAAAAAACAAAAACAAATATTTACTAAACTTAAAATGGTGTTCCTGGCTTCTTGTTGAAAAATTTAAATAGGTCTTCTTTATTACAAAAAATAAATAAATAAAAATCAGAGCAATACAGTGCCCTGCACTTCAGACTGCAGCTTTTAAATGTTTTCTAATCTAAAAGAAACTGTTAATTAAAAAAAAAAAAAACTTATTTAAAACCCTCTTTATGGGCGTGTCAGATTAACTTTGTTTACAAAACGTTAGGGACTAAAGACGAGATCTTTTTTAAATTTCTATAGATAACTTTTACGTTAAAGGAGATTCAACTGAAAGTTTTAATGCAATAACTGATTTTAAATAAGCTCAATATGGTCTAGCTGAGGTACTAAAAAACAATGTGCAGTGTTCATATATTATTCAAATTAATAAACTTTTTACAATCATACCAATTAAATATTTCCCTCCCAAGTTGTTTTGTTTGAATGTTAATAATTTAGATTTTTGTGTGCTACCACCAGGAAACTTTATGTAATCAAATCAAGCAAAAAATTTAAAAAATTAAAAAAAAATGGGAGATCTGCTTCAAAACACAAGATGTAAAAATATAAATGAAACATTTTTAAAACAACAAAAAGCAAACTTCTTGCTCTTTTGTAAACCTTGTAAATAAATGGCCAAATTATCATCTTAAAAACTTTATTTACCACTTAACACGAAGCTTAACTAGTTGATTCAAACCCATGTTTAAAATCGGCTCTGAACAGCACGAATACATGAGCTGGACGAGGAAACGTCTGATGACTGCGTGAACACGATAAGAAGAGCAGAAAGTTTGTCATCATCCTGATAAGTGAACAGAGTAGGAACTCTTCAGTTCCTACTGTGAGACACAGAGACCACAACGAACTAAAAACTAGTTCCCATTTTTAACAATAAAACCGCTAAATGGACTGTACCTTTCTGTCTGATCAAGATGCTCAAAGCTCTTTACACGACAATCTATGCCCTCATTTACCCATTCATACAGCACTCTACGATATCAATAAGAACAGTGTTATCACATTCACACACCGATGGGACACACATTGGAGGCAGTGAGGGGTTCAGCGTCTTGCCCAGGGACACTTCAGCATGTGACTGCTGGTGGAATCGAACCCCCAACTCTTGCATTAGAGGACGACTGCTCTAACCACTCATCCACAGCCGCTCCAGCCCCAGCTGGAAAGAAACCTTTAATAACTTTCTAAACGTTTGAACAAGGTTGCATGTTTAGTCTTTCTTAGTTTTTAATATTAAAAAAGTTTTTAACTGACTACCGTATTTACTTGCATTAAGAAAGACTAGACAAGAGAACCACCTCTCCCAATAACATCTGCTGACAAGTAGGAACAAATTACACTTGATAGACCCCAAAAAGCCTGACGCGTGTAGCAATAACAGCTTATTACTGCACAGGTGAGAAACAAAAACAAGTACATTTGACAGGTGAATGTAAAACCACTCAAATCCAAGAAGATCACTTTTCCCCACGTCTTCATGAAGTGAATTATTAACTTGTGACAATTTGCAGTTGGTAACAAGGAAAAAAGAGGAAAACAGTTCTGACTTCTCCCTTTGGAGATGCAGAGAATGCAGATTTGAGGATGAAATTGGGAGAAGATAAAAGCGGAGGAGGCTGATTTCTTCCACTTGAAGCTAGGAGTGATGTCCTGTCCCCATGCAAACCTGATCAGCTCATCAACAAGACACGAGCCGCCATTATATGCGAGTCAAAAAAAAACAATGCTGCTACAAACTTTTTGGCCAATAATAATAAGATTCTCCGTTCAATGTTTGTATTACTGCTTTTTGTTTACACTTTGATTTACTATTCGGTGGCAGAATGTGCAGGCTACTGAAGAGTTAAGACTTGAAATATCCGTTTGTGAAGTTGTGTTACATTTAACGATGTCAAGAAAACTCGAGGTGGCTCAGTTTGTAGAGCTGCCAACTCTCAGCGAGAAGGTTACCCAAGCAAATCCCGGCCGGGGGTCTTTCTGGGTGGAGTTTGCATGTTCTCTCCGTGCATGCGTGGGTTTTCTCCGGATACTCCTGTTTCCTCCCACAGACCAAAAACATGCATGTTAGGCTGATTGGTAACTCTAAATTGTCCCTAGGTAAGAGAGTGAATAGTTGTCTCATTTGTCTCTCTGTGGCCTTGTGATGGACTGGACACTTGTCCAGGGTGTCCCTCGTCTCTCGCACAGTGACTGCTGGATACAGGCACCAGTGACCCCCATGAGTCTTTGGGATTATTAAAGTATTTTTGAATTGAACTGACCCAAAAAGGAAAAAGAGGGTAAAGATAATAGATAACTTGGATTTGACTGAAGGTAGTGTCTCACTGGGCTGTGACTGCTGCAGACTAGTTAGCAAATGCTGGGAGAGAACTGGGAACACTGGGAACATTATGGAGACTCCCTTACACAAATGGCCTTCGCCACCTAGTCACCAGTTGCAGCACAGTGAGATACTGGCTCTTGTGATTAATCAACACATGTCTAGTCTTTTCTCTTAATTACTTGTTAAGATTATAATGTTTAGATTAGATGTCTTTTTGTATTTATTGTTCTATTGTGTATCTGTATTGTTTTACACTTTGTGTTCGGTGTTACACCATGATCCTGGAGGAACGCCGTTTCGTTGCAATATGTACTTTTACGTAGCTGAAATGACAAAAAAAACTCTGACTCTCTAGTGATGTCATTACTATTGTAGTAACAGATTCACGTCATGCAGCAGCTCATATAAATGAAAGACGCCTTCCTTGTACTGAAAAATGTTGAAATCACACCTTTTTTTTTAATTATTACAATATGTACTTCTTGAAAAACCTGAGTCATGCACAGTCAAATTGGTAACAGATTAACAAAGTGCATTTTTCTTGCGTTTAAAGCAATATTTGATAAAGAGATGGTGAGACTGAGAAAGTTGCAAATAAAAATACTGCATTTGTTAAATGGTAGAACCAGGACTGAAAAAGGAAAAATAAATAAATCTGTCTGCCACAGGGGGTGCAAACTGGTGGTGAAGATGAAGTCTCAGATTAAATACTCTGTTTATTATTAAACTTGTAGAACAACATTCATTTTTTTCTAGTTTTCTGCCAACAAACCAGTTCTGGGGATTTTTCAGACACACACTCAGCAGTTAAACCTCACAGACCAAAGCTATACATCTAAAAACACTGAATAAATATGCTCTGAGCTGATTTTCTTAAAACCCTCCTGGATTAAAGCTGCAAAGCAAAGTTCGGCAAACAAGATTTGGGTATTAAATCAGATCTAAAAGTCTTTGATAGTGCGAAGCCCTGAGATTTAACATGATCACCAAGCTAATTCAAAGAAGAGAACTGAGCTTATAGAGAGGCTCTGAAGACTTGAACATGCTAATAATGAGTGTGCAGGTGCAGAAGAGAAATTATATTATTATTATAGATGATTTTTCCACAAATTTGCCTCTGCAAAGAAATTTCTAAACAGCTGGCAACCCATTAATAAGTTATGTTCCATTGCATAGGATGAAAAGTAAATTAAAACAGGTGATCAAAGCAGAAACTCTTGGTTTCTTACAGAGTAATCTGAGACTGGAAAACAATGAAAAATAAAACTCCCTAATTATTTTAGTTTCACAATTATTTTTCCAAAGAGCTCAAACAGGGTTATGCAACATGTCTTACAGATACTACAAAACCGCTGAGTGAGTATTTGGACATGTTTTTTAGCCCATCACCAAACTTCAATAAAGGTCAAGCTAACAGATAAAAACTAATATGCTAATGCGTTTAAACCGTGCTTTCATTTTTAGATTTACCTGCGAGGGTTGTGCCTCATCTGTACTTTCTCCATGTTGTCCCCCCTCAGCCCGCTCGAACTCCTCCGAATCAGGTCTGGATTCAAACTTGAACCGAGCTCCTCAGCGTCTAGTCGAAGCTAACAGTTAGCTCCGTCTGCTAGCTCGCTAACGGTTAGCAGCGGGCAAGCTAGCCCGCTCAGTTCCGCAGCAGCGTCCCGGCGGACGATAACTACTGCTGCCGTAAAAATCACTTTTGTTTATCATTCTGTAAGACAAGCTTCGCTTCGTGAAAAAGCTTTGCCAGGCTGCGGTATCCTCGCCGTCAGGTACATTTTTCTCCCCGTGTCTGGGCAACTTTCGACCTGTTTGACGGAGCCTTTGGCAGCCGCTGTGACGTTCAACTGAGAAAACCAGGAAGTGGATCGAAGGGCGGGCGGGAAGGCGGAGCGTGTGCAGTGGGTGGAGCGAGCAGCAGGGGGCGCCATTTACACACAAACTGTGCTCTTCTTAAAATTTATTACTAGTCTCTATTTTACATGTTTGTGTCAGAAGACACTGGAAAGCCTTCACATCTATATAGTCAATTTTTGGATGGAATTTTCCCTTTTTTCATTAATACATCTGTATTTACAGGACAACCTAGAATTGATGTCGTCCCCTTAAACCCTTTTAAAATTTGTAACAATAAAAAAGCACTTTTGATTCCAACTTTTGTCATTTGAATTGTTTGAATGTATAGATATACCTTGGTTTGGTTCTTATCTCAATAAAAAATAAAAAAAAAGGCATCCAGCTCAACATTGCTTGTCCCCAATTGGAGAAATGTAAATTTTCCCAAGTTGAATGTATAAAATTGCACCATTTTTATTGCAAAGCTTCACCTTATGCATGTTTGATGACCCCTTCTGACTTTTGCTTGTGTGTGTGCTGTTCCATCTAGTATTACTGTTGGAATCACAAGGACAAAAACTAGTAACCGGTAAGTATTATTGTTGATAAAACAATGAGTCATCTGTTGTACCTTCATTTCGACACCGCACATTTCAAGCATTATTGCCACACTACATTATCTTGACATAATTACATAATGTAAAACATTTTTGACAAACAGCACAGAGCCAACAGAAATCATGAACAGAATATTTTATTTAAGGGAACAAACAAAAGAGCAATGTTCACGTCTGATCAGCAAACACCAAAGGGATCCATCTTCAAAGCAGGAATGACAGGACAGCAGAGCTATAGGAGGAAAACAAGCTCCATCAGGCAGATTCAGCTGTTTTAAGTCCTTACATCATCTGATTTTAGATTTTGTGTTCACGTGATGCCAACATTCACATTGTAATACACATTATGGTGGTCTATTGAAACTCACAGCAGCTTTACTCCCCAGAAGGCCGCACTGATTCGAAGACGCCCGCTTCCCTCATGGTGTTGAACTCTTTTTCGTGATCGTAATTCTTATAGAATTCAGCATAAGCCATCTTCCTGGGTTCTGCCACTCTGTACTGTAAAAAGCAGAAGACGTCCCAGTTTTACTCAAATTTCAATGCAAATGAAAACGTATCTGTAAAGAACGTCAGTTTTAGGCCAAATAAGTGCTAGAGCAAAAATAAATAAATTTCATATCTGAAGTGTGAACACGTAATTTGAAGACTTACTACTTTTGATGAAATGTTCATGTTGCTGCCAGACTTGAAATCTAAACCTGCAGTATCTAATTTAATGACTATTGTGAATTAAGGTGTAGTTTTCTCCAATTAAAACAATGTTGCAAAAACAACAACATGATTTTATATTAGCAAAAGGTAAATCCTATCCTTAGTGGAGTTGATTTTGGATTTAAGGTTTAATTCAGTTAACATTACAAAAAAAAAAAAGGTTTTTGTTACATCTATTTCAAACTTATAGTTAAACAAGTATTTTATGCTGGTTACATATTCTCCCAGCAGTTTACATTGAAACTTATGTATCTGTCTTAAAAGACTACTACTTTGTTGCTTTATGTCAAGTTTTGTGCAGTAGCTTAAAAGATTAACGAGTTTGTGGTTAAAAACCTTTTGTTAACAAATTAAAGATTCATACATTTTAATTATCTTCTCGGAAAACAGCCGTTTCTTTATGGACTTTTGATATTGTTGACTTTTGACTTTTTGAGTGGGCCTGCGATGTTACTGGATGTGTAGCCTGGTGCAAAATGTGAGCAGGTTTCTGAGTTATAGATTTAAAACAGACACAGGTCAGCAGGTCTGTTAAACGAGATACTTTGTGGTGAGCCCCTGGTAACACCTGACACAAATTTCTATGGTATGACTGATCAGGAAGACTCATTCACTTTTTTATTCTGGTGACGCACTAAAGATTTTTGCTTGTGCTAGTTTAACAGTATTATTGGAACTTTTTGATAGCATTAAAATAGCAAGGTTTTTTTTTTTATTTAAATTCATCAAGTTTAAACCAAAATGGAAAAACAGATTTATTTAATTTACACAGTAATTTTTTTGTGGCAAACAATCAAAACAATTTAGCATAAAAATCAAATCTGCTCCAATACTCCAATCAGATTGCCACAAAAATTAGATTTATGTCAAAACAGACCAGACTTCCCTGTAGAAACCCATAACAAAATTTATTATGTAAAGTTTCCTGTAAAGTTTGGTCCAGAATACTAAATAGCTCTAGTAATAATGGGATCACGCAGGGAGGTGGAGCACCATGAAGACAGAGCTCGTCGTTCAAACACTCGCAGCGTTTGCAAAACTTCTGCAAGATCGCCAAGTTTAATGTTTGACCCGTTTTCAGTCCCTTTGTCTTTCCGTAGGTAAACAAACTGTAGTTCAAATCAACTCTAAAATGTTGTTCTGTTCAAATCCCAGCATAAAATAAACAGCAAACTAAACAAATTATTTAAAAGTGAGCAGTTGTTGATATCCGGTCACAATTTTTACTTAAAGTTTTTAATTTAAGGGCAAATTAATCATTGATGAGAAAAACCGTTTAACAAATTATGATTATTACTTCATGCATTTTTTTTGTCTGGTCTTTATGGCATTAGAATGAACATTCAAGTTGTTGATTTTTTATTTTGACGCCCTAGTCCTTTAGAGTTTGCAGGATAAAAAATTAAAAAAACTGTTTAAAATGTGGTCTGAGCTACATTTGAGATGTACAGAAGCATTTGCTATAGGAACATTGTAAAGTGTACATATCATATGCATACTCCAAGCATTCATGAGAGCTGGTTTTGTAGTGTGCTGGTGTGTCAACTCGTGCAATCACCTTGAACAGAACAGCTGCGACAATGCCCAAAGTAAAAGCAATGGGCAGATGAAACCTCATGCGCCTGTACAACAACCTCCTCATCACTGGCTTTTGCAGATGCATGGTTATTACTTGTAAGAAAATGAAGACAAAATACAGGTTATGCTAATAAGGCAGAGTAGTTCAACCTTTATTTCCCTAAAATGGGGCAGATCTACATACATATATTAGGGATGCACAATATTATCGGCATGGTTTCGGTCGATATTAGTGTTAAATTGCAATATTGGACATCGGCCATTCCATTAAAATAACTTGTCGATATAAAAGACGCTGTTTTTGTCTGCAGTGGCAGCGCAACGCGGTGACGCCACGTGAGCCTACCCGATCTCACGGCGGAGAGGAAAATTCAAAATGTCGGTGTTGTGGAAGTTTTATTTTGCGTTGGTGAGGATGTCGGATTCCAAAGATTTATGGACTACATTGACTTGCTACATCGTTCGCAGTCAAGATATTTTTCCGACGAAACGCTACCCGAGTTACAAGCCGTCATTTCCAACGTCACTGAGAAGCTAATAGCCGATAGCACGACTTGTTGGGTGAGTTTTACCACAGACATTTGGGCGTCGTGTTAGCCCCGTTAGCATGATTACGTCTTACGGCAAAATGGATAGACAAAAACTTTGAACTTTAAAAAGGCTGCCCTTCATGCACAGGAGTGCAGAGCAGGGGTTGAACGACTACATAATTTTTAAACTCGACTTTAACATAATAAAACTCAAGTAGAACTCGAGTACTTGAGGACATCACAGGATCTAAAGATACAAAAATAAATAAATAAAACCGCAATAAAGGTCAATATTTACAAAAAAAAAAAAGACCAACAAAACATTGGGAGCATAATTATGCTCCTACCATTTATCATACAGCAAATAAGTCACAGGAAAAACTGAACCATTTATTATTATTATTAAGCTGCAAAAGTAAAAGAAATAACGTGCGACACGTCAAAAACTAAACTAAAAATAATGGGGCGGACGACCACCCCGCACCACTGCCAGCTGTGGTGTGCATTTGGTTTAGAGATTAATATGTTTATAGTTTTTTTTTATAGGTTTAGAGATTAATATGTTTATAGGTTTTTTTTTATAGGTTTAGAGATTAATATGTTTATAGGTTTTTTTTATAGGTTTAGAGATTAATATTTTTTGCTTTTTGTTTGTAAAACAAGGTTAGAGGAAGCTGGTTCTGGTTCGGTCATTGGACCCGGTGTTACACCATATTCTGTGACTTGCAACAGCGCATGCAACACCGCCACCTACGGTCACAATATACGGTGGTCACAGAATATGGTGTAACGCCAGTTCGCAACGAGCTCCAAACAGTCAGGAAGTTGATTCGTTTTCTGTTTCCTTACGATAGTTGAACCAGAAGATTCATCTTTAGTGAAATATTTCCAGACTATTGATGCACTTCTACTTGTTTGTCAAGACTGGGACTGCTCTGCTCTATTTGTCTGCTTGGAGGAATCCATTTTGTAACCCGTTGGGTGACACATGACGCAATGACGTAACCAAGAACACTCGACGGGAAATAAAAAAACTCAATAGATGTCCTAGGAATCGATGTGTAGATTACTCGAGTAGTCTGCTAAAGCCCTAGTGCAGAGGATCCCACACTGCAGCTAGGAACCTCCAAGTGACACAGCATTGCAGGTGACTAATGCTAATAAATAAAATTTAACACTTTTCATTTAATATAAGTCAAAGTGCTATGCATATCAAATGGCTGTTACTGAAGATGTCACCAGCTCTTACAGCTGTTGCACAATTTTTGTAGCAAATAAGCCTAAATAAGAGGGCTATGTTCTGACAAAACAACATATATAAAATATTGGTATCTGCCAAATAAGTTTTAACATATCAGCATATCGGATATCAGCCAAAAATCCAATATCGTGCATCCCTAATATATATACAGAATATATTGAATTTATCTACTAAACATAATTTTTTTAATCTGCTTTTTTCAAGTTAATATGAAAAAATCTGTCTTACAATCATACACAAGGGAATGCATTCAAACGTATCTTTAAGGGAAGTCTGAGATTGTCATCATTGGGAAATTAGTTCTCTGCATGCATGCGAGATACACTCAGGTGGAGCAGTGGGTAGCTATGCAAGTGCCCGGGGAGAAATTGGGCATTAGTGTCTTGCTCAGAGACACGACATGTGGGAAAGGCTGGGAGTCGAACTGCAACTTTCTGGTCCCAAGTCGGCTTGTGTCCAACTTCATCGCCATCAAGTATCGCTGCCAAGTCAGGAATTCAAATTAAAGTGCTGAGTTCTGAATAAATACAGTTAAAGCTATAGAGTATCCAATCTTTGTCAAATTGGTTGCCAGTCGTTACAATGAATGTCAGAATTTGGTGCATCAGTTAAAAGTTAATTGTAATACTCTCAAAATGAGAGAGGACTCAAACTCATTTAGGTGAATCCCCGAACACGCATAAAATTATCAAGTAGGATTAAAAAAAAAGGTCTCAGAAGGGCCTCAAAGGAAGTAATATTTATGTATTTTAATTTCATCGCCATATGCATATCACTGCCAAGTCAGGTCAGCACTCGAACCGCAGTGACAGCGTCAGGTTTCGACCAAAAACCAATGTCATTTCACATACTGACAAATACATATTAAACCTACAGGAAAGCTACAAGAGCGTGATAACAAAAACTAAATAAATAATTAATTTATAAACACAACCACCTGCAGGTCAGGGTCACGCCATCATCGAATGTCGTTAGCATCGAAATCGATTGTAACAATCAAAACTTCCTTTTTCACCATTATACCAACCCATCTTATTAGTTAAGAACCGTATAGTTGTTGAGTTGTAAAAATAATTTACCTATCGTTAACCATAGCAGTAGTATAATTAAAAATTGGTTGGCGTAGATTGACAGACGAGCTAACTTTAGCTAGGTCAATATGAGCTAATTGCTAACAGGAACGCGGTAAGCAAGAAAAGCTGCCAAATAAAAACCCAAACAATTACAAACTTAAGGTTGGGTTTAAAAAGACGATACATTACAAACACAAATGAAGAGGTAAGGTTGAATCCCTAGAAACTGTCAAGACACTCACAGCAACACTGTCGACCTTCACAAAAACAGCAAACGCTCTCCTACAGCGCTTTACCTCACCGGAAGTTTCTACTGGTGCCACTGAGGGACAAAAAGATCCGTAAAAAAAACAATGCAGCGTCAATATTTGATTAATTCGTTAGAAAAATAATTTCATAAACAAGTAATGCCCCATCCACAAAGGTTTAGCTCGATCATTGCTTAAGTATGTGCATATAACACTAAACAGCTTCTTTTTCATATGTCAATTAGTAATGCACTCATCTGTCCCAAGTTCTAGTAGAGTTTTTTTAATATAATTTTTAACATTTATTTAAAGAGCTATGCCTTTAATAATAAACATATACTTAGTTTTCATGCACAATCACATGGACTTTTACTCGTAATTTTGATTTTTAACAGGCTATTAAAAGCTTTTGTAAAACCGCTTTCTGGCCACAAGAGTGGAGTAGAGCCACACCATTAACAAATGTTGAGTTCATTGGCCTGAGTTATATACAGTAATTAAAAAATAACGATGATGACAATTAAAAATGGTAAACAATTCTAAGTATATATCTTATAAATGTAAATACATAAAATGACTCATAAAAGGACAGTTTTGTTTGAGACATACATCCATTGTATTTACCAGTTTCTTCCTTTCCAGGTCACCGAGGTCACTGTTGTCAATCTCCACCAGTCCCTGTATGAGAGGCTGGAAAGACTGCAGGTCCATCACAGGGACACAGAGACAAATGAGGCAAACAACCCTCTCTCACACACCTGGGGACAATTTCGTTACCATTTAGCCTAACATACATGACATACAACATTTTGTGAACCTATTTATTTATTTATTTATTTTTGGGGGGTGTGGGGTGGTGGATCACTTCATATTTATTTAAATAATTGTATTGTTTTTTTTATGTTGTTTTGTTGGCATATATTATTGGGTTATAGAGAATTTAGATAAACTGCTATTGTAATTGTTAGTTAAATTTTAACTGATTTTTTTCTTTCTGATCTTTCAGGTTGTCTCTCTGCAGAAGTGGCCACAGCGAGTCATCCTCCTCCATCTCACTCTGTCCTCTGCATCCTCTGTCCTCACTCCAACTACCCCCATGTCCTCTTTAACTGCATCCATATATCTCCTCTTTAGCCTTCTTCTTTGTCTTCTTCCTGGCAGCTGCACTTCTAACATCCTTCTACCAGTATACCCACTGTCCCTCCTCGGGACATGTCCAGACCATTTCAGTCTGGTCTCTTTAAACTTTATCTCCCTGTTGTTCAACCTGTGCTGTACCTCTGATGATCTCATTCCTAATCTTATCCATCCTTGTCACTCCTAAGGAGAACCTCAACATCTTCATTTCTGCTACGTCCAGTTCTGTCTCCTGTCTTTTTGTCAATGCCACTGTCTCCCATACAACATAGCTGGTCTCTCCACTGTCTTATAAACTTTTCTTTGGACCTTTGCTAATACTCAGACACAAATAACTTCTGAAACTTTTCTCCATCCATTCCATCCTGCCTGGGCTCTCTTCTTCCTCCACACTCTCCATTTTCCTGGACCCCAAGTACTTGAAGTCCTGCACCTTTGTGACCTCTGCTCCTTGTAGCCTCACTGTTCCACCTCCTCCCTCTCATTCACACACATGGACTTTGTCTTACTACGGCTGACTTTCATTCCTCTTCTTTCAGGTCTCTCTTGTAAAAGAGTCCCCGAGGCTCAGCGGGATTAACTTGTCTAAATAAAGGTTGAATGAATGAAAAAGTGCATACCTCAACCTCTTTAAGTTCTCTTCCACCTGTTCCCTGTTCTCAACACATATCACAATGTCATCTGCAAATATCATAGTCCATGAGGATTCCTGCCTGACCTCATCTGTTAGTCGGTCCATCACCAGAGCAAACGAAGAGGCTCAGAGCCGATTCTTGATGCACTCCCACCTCCACCTTGAAGCTATCTGTCACTACTACAACACATCTCACCACTGTCCTGCTGTCCTCATACATGTCCTGTATCAGTTTAACATACTTCTCTGCCACTCCAGATTTCCTCATGCAATACTACACCTCCTCCCTCGGCACCCTGTCATGCTTTTTCTTAATCCACAAAGACACAATGGAGTTCTTTCTGACCCTTTCTGTACTTCACCAGCATCCTCAAAGCAAAGATGGCATCTGTGACTCTTTCTTGGCATGAAACCATACTGCTGCTCACATTCACCCCTTGTCTAAGTCTACCTTCCATAACTCTCTCACAGATCTTTATCGTGTGGCTCATCAACTTAATTCCCCTGTAGTTGCTACAACTCTGTACATCACCCTTGTTCTTAAAAATGGACACCAGCACACTTCTCCATTCCTCAGGCATTTTAATCAATCTAGCTGTTTTATGTTTTGTTTTTGTTTCTTATACATTTTTTTTCATCCACCCATCCATTATTTTCCACTTGTTTTGAAGTTGGGTCGTGGGGTCAGCAGCTTGAGCAGGGAGGCCCAGACATCTCTTTCCACAGCCACCTCTTCTAGCTCTTCTGGGGGGACCCCAAGGAGTTCCCAGGCCAACCGAGAGACAGTCTCTCCAGCGTGTCCTGGGTCTTCCCCCGGGGTCTCCTCCCAGTCGGACATGTCCGAAGCACCTCCCTAGGGAGGCGCCTCTCAATGTGGAGGAGCAGCGATTCTACTCCGAGTCACTCCCAGATAACTGAACTTCTCACCCCATCTCTAAGGGAGAGTCCAGCTACCCTGCAGAGGAAACTCATTTCAACCTCCTGTATATCCACAATCTCATTCTTTCAGTCACTACCCACAAGCTTTTTCATTTTTCTTTCATTTATTCTTCCTAATTTACATGCTTTCTTTTATGATTGTATTTGTCCACTGTTATCATTATTTGTTAAAAAAAAAAAAAAAACAGGTCTCTTGCAAATGAGTCTTCAAGGCTCAATGAGTGTCACGAAACCAGGCTTTTGGATTCAGAATGACAAAGACAAGAGTAAAAAAAATAAAAATAAAAACAGTTTTATTTATAATTGCAGCTGCAGCCAGGGAAAGGATCTAGAAGAGGGTCGTAATCCAGAAGGTAAGGCAGGGGTCAAGCATGGGGAGTCAGAGTTCTTAAAACAGATCCAAGAGGTAATCCAAAATCAAGAGTCAAAGGGCCAGAAAAAGTTGTTGTACCAGGGTCAGAAGGGCAGAGCAAAATTAGACGAGCGACAGGCAGAGAGATAAATCCAAGAGGCAGGCATGAGGTCGTAGTCCAAAACACAAGGCTTGAAGTTCAGGCATGAAACTTTGAATGGCTTGAGAATCAGGGACCATGAGAGGTTTAATGATCTCGTGCTGAATTAGTGTGGGGCATGGAGTTGCAGTAGTGGAGAGAACAGGTGAGAGGCATGAAGGTTGATTGCGGTGAATCAGCTGAGGGGGCGTGGTGACAGAGAAGTGACATGAGCAGATTTGAAGTACAGATTGACAGGAGCTGATGTGAACAATGACAGGAGCTGATGGATAAACAAAGCATGAAGGAAAGGGGCAGAAACATGGCATGTCATGAAGGGGCAGGGAAGTGAGCAGATGGGGGGCCAGCGGGGGCCACTGATCATGACAATGAAACTAACTTGTATAAATAAAGGTTGAATGAATGAATTAATTTTCTTACCCTCAAATATGCCATTGAACATTTGAGTCAAAAACCTCATTGCTATCTCTCCAAGACATTTCCAAACCTTCAGTTTTATGTCATCAGGTCTCACTGCCTTCCCCTTCTTCATTAATTTCAGAGCTTTCTTAATTTCAGCCTCACTAATCTTTCCCACGCCCTGGTTCACAGTGTCTATGACCTATACTCTTCTTTCTCTTTCATTCTCTTCATTCATTAGCTCCTCAAAATACTGCTTCCATCTTCCCATCACACTCTCCTCACTTTTAAGAACATTACGATTCCTATCTTTAACAAGCCTAACCTGTTGCACATCCTTTCCAGCCTGATCCCTCTGTCTTGCCAATCAGTACAAGTCCTTCTCGCCCTCTTTAGTGTCCAGCCTCCCAAACAACTCATCATATGCCTTCTGCTTTGTCTTAGCTACCTCCCTCTTTGCTCTACGCCCCATCTAAATATTCCTGTCGCTTCTCTTCAGTCCTCTCACTGTCATATTTCTTCTTGGTTAATCTCTTTCTTTGAATAGCATCCTACACTTCACTTTTCCACCACCAGGTTTCCTTATCCATTCTCTGTCCAGATGACACACCAAGTAACTTCCTACCTGTCTCTCTAATTACTGTTGCTGGAGTAGCCCAGTCATTTGGAAGCTCTTTCTTACCATCCAGAGCCTTTAACAGCTCCTGTCTGAACTACTCACAACATTCTTCCTTCTTCATCTTCCACCATTTGGTCTTCTTCTCTGATTTTACTCTCTCTCTTCTTCACAACAGTCATTCTACACACAACCATCCGATGCTGTCTGGCCACGCTCTCCCCTGCCACACCCTTACAGTCTCCAATCTCCCTCAAGTTTCCTCTTCTACACAGAATGTAGTCGACCTGCGTACTCCTTCCTCCACTCTTATAGGTCACTCTAAGTTCCTCCCTCTTTTAGAAATAGGTATTATTGACTATAGCCATTTCCTTTCTCTTGGCAAAATCCACCACCATCTGTCCTTCCTGGTTTCTTTCCTTGACGCCAGACCTCCCCATCACTTTCTTATCCCCTCTGTTTCCTTCACCAACATGTCCATTCAAGTCTGCTCCGATCACCACTCTCTTCTCCCTGGGAATATTCTCTATCACTTCATCCAGATCCTTCCAAGATGTCTTTCTTCTCTACATCACATCCAACCTGTGGAGCAAACACTGACAACATTTAGCATCAGACCTTCTACTTCTACCTTCAGACACATCACCCTATCTGACATTCTTATGATTTGTTTTTCTGATGTAATGTTTTTTTTTTTTTAAGATAAAAAATTTGCACAACAAGGCACTGCTTTGATTGATTTGTTTTATTTGATTTAGATAGATTTTTGATTTTGATTTGATTTTGATTGATTTGATTGAAATTGATTAAATCAATTTCTGATTTGAGAGGAGGT